CATGTATTTATATGGCAACTAAATATCGTTATATAAATAACAATACACACTGGATACAAATTTGTGCTTATGTGAGTATTTCAGGGGAAGGGGGCCTATAGCTGTCATCAGATTCTCAAAGGGGTCCGGGACTCTATAAAAGTTGTGATTTTAGAACATTCACAAGAATGTGCATTTTACTATTGTTAAAATAATTTTAAAAAATGACTCGCTGTAATTGGATTACAAAATAAACAATAATGATAATGATGCTGGCAGTAATAATAATGATAATAATAATAGTAATAATAATGATAATAATAATAGTAATAGTAATGATAATGATACTACTACTACTACTACAAGTAATAATAAAACCAATTAGTAATGCTACAAGAGGAAGAACAGCTCCATCTTAAGCACTTTTTTTTCTTTTTTTTTATACAAATATTTGAAAGACGCTTTGTATTTCTCCTATACAGTTAGTCTTTTTTCCTTCATTTTTTTTGCGATTGGTTTTCATTTTTCCTTTGGGTTTTGAAACATACTTTTCCATTGCTTTATTACTATTCCCGTGCCACGACTTAGATGGCCATCTTGGCTACACAACGATTATGAAAGCGTACATGAAGTCATCTCCGGCTGACGCGAAATCCAATTAACTGATCAAACCCCTTTACCGCTTCCAACGCTTGTCACTGCGGTTGGCCCACATTAATTATAATCATCTGTATGCAATATATATATTTTTTCCTTATGACTAATCATGTTTTTATTCTCATCTTTACTATTACACATTTTCTTGCCCCTTGCTATCTACTCTCCATCCAATCTTTATTCCTCCCAATCTTCCTATCCGTTCATCTTAACCGTCTTGCTTACTCCTATCAATCTTTACTCATCACACCCTTCCTACCCATTCTCTTATCGCCTCCCTCCCTACCCATCCATCCCCTTTTCGCCTCCCTTCCCTTACCCATTCTCTTATCGCCTCCCTTACTACCTATCCTCTTCTCACTTCCCTTCCTACCCATCCCCTTATCGCCTCCCTTCCCTTACCCATCCTCTTCTCGCCTCCCATTCTACCCATCCTTTTTTAAATTCCCTTTTCTACTTTTTTTCCCTGTCGTCCTGCAGACTCCCACGCACCTCGGTGAAAGCGGCGGCACCAGCCACGCAGACAGCAAGGACGTGGTAGGTTATCATGGAGAGCAGCATCGTCCGAGCGTAGTGCTTGTCCGAGGTTCCTAAGAGCGACCAGACGAACACACACAGACCTGGTGGTTTAGGGTGGTTTAGTAGGATGAAAGGAAGGGGCTTTTTTTTTTTTTTTTTTTTTTTTTTTTTTTTTTTTTTGTGTGTGTGTGTGTGTGTGTGTGTGTGTGTGTGTGTGTGTGTGTGTGTGTGTGTGTGTGTGTGTGTGTGTGTGTGTGTGTGTCTTATGTTGCTGTGTTGCATCATAAGAACAGGTGAGAAAAAGGGAGAGAGAGAGGAAGAGGGAAAGGGAGGGTGAAAGGGAGAGGGAGAGTGAAAGGGAGAGGGAGAGGAAAAGGGAGAGTGAAAGGGAGAAGGAGAGGTAAAGGGAGAGTGAAGAGGATGGTGAAAGGGAGAGGGAGAGGGAAATGGAGAGTGAAAGGGAAAGTGAAGGGGAAAAGGAGAGGGAGAGGAGGAGGGAGATGGAGAGGGAAATAGAAAGTGAAGGGGAGAGGGAGATGAAAAGGGAGAGGGAGAGTGAAAGGGAGAAGGAGAGGTAAAGGAAGAATGAAGAGGAGGGTGAAAGGGAGAGGGAGAGGGAAATGGAGAGTGAAAGGGAAAGTGAAAGGGAGAGGGAGAGGGAGAGTGAAAGGGAAAAGGAGAGGGAGAGGAGGAGGGAAATGGAGAGTGAAAAGGAAAGGGAGAGGGAAATGGAAAGTGAAGGGGAGAGGCTGATGAAAAGGGAGAGGGAGAGAAATAGGTAGAGGGAAAGGGAGAGGAAAAGAAAGAGTGAAAGGGAGAAGAAGAGGGAAATGGGGAGTGAAAGGGAGAGGGGGAGGGAGAGGAAAAAAAGAGTGAAAGGGAGAGGGAGAGGGAAATAGAGAGAGGAAAATGAAAGGTGAAGGGGAGAGGTAGAGGGAAATGGAGAGTGAAGAGTAAAGAGAGAGAGATCGGAGGAAAAAAAAACAACTGACTGACCGGCCAGGGCGGCGCCAGCGACCCGAGCGGCGGGCGTGGCGTCCTCATCCAGATGCGGCGTGACGCCCAAAGACGAGGCGATGGAGGGCGCGAGAAGGAGCAGAACGGCTTCCATGGTTACGCCCGCGCCCATGATCACGTGAGCGCTCCAGAAGCCCTTGGGAAGCTTGACGTAGAGGTGCTCATTGTGACCCAACACCTGCGAGATCTGCGGGAGAGAGCGAGCGGGTTTCTTTACCTTCGTGGCAGAGGGTCGTTGGCGTCAGGGCTGCATATACAGCATTTACAGTGGTTAACAACTTACCTTATACACGCACACACACACATAAATATATAATAATAAAGATAA